CCTTTTAAAGTGCAATTTACAATTAACCCAATTATAATTGNAGTGGTGGTGGAGGCGCGGTGAGAGTGGTGATAGTTGAGCAGTTTCAAACACTAATTATTTTTTAAAAGTACTTATGTTCTAGAAACACTTTTAAAAATTCACTTTAAACACACCTTTAGGAGTCTATTTTTCCTATTAAATTTGAAGTGTTATTATTAATTGTCAGATTAATTTTAAATTAAAATTTAAAGGCATCTCAACCGCGAAAAACAAATGTCATTTTGTTTATATTTTGAGATTTGAATTGTATTGTACTTTATTATATAAATGATATAGGTCGAGAAATAATTTTTTTTTTTTCTTTGAATAAACTATTCAGAAATTTCATTTATGTAGGAAAGCCTTAAGGTCAGGCGGGGGCAGCAAACCCAACTTAATGGAATCGAGTTAGGTAAAGTATTCGTTGCAATCTAATGAACTGCTGCTATATTAAGAGCTCTTGTATCTCCATATTATTACTTTCAATAATTGCCTGTTGGGGAAGATGCAAGAAAAGCATGCTTCTCTGACTACAGCAGTTTCGGAGTACAAGCTGGAGACTGCGGGAATTCATTTTGCAATACCCTCCCTCCGCCTCCAATAAAACCTCATTAGTGTACCTCAGGATCACCCCTATAGCAGCTTCCCCATTCTTGAAAGTTACATCGCAACTCAGCTTGAAGTCTCGATTTAGGCCTGGAATTTGATCATGTTGTTGATAAGTTAAAAATCACCATATAGAAGTTAGTATAAAAAGGTCAGAGGAATGGTTATTCATCTTCCTATCTTTCGCACAAGAAAATTACTTTTTTACTTCCCTTTTGGATGTCGAAATAACTATGATTCTTGGTCTTGTTTGTCAAAGATTCCAAGTCTGAGTTTGAGTTTCAATTNTTTTTAAAAGTACTTATGTTCTAGAAACACTTTTAAAAATTCACTTTAAACACACCTTTAGGAGTCTATTTTTCCTATTAAATTTGAAGTGTTATTATTAATTGTCAGATTAATTTTAAATTAAAATTTAAAGGCATCTCAACCGCGAAAAACAAATGTCATTTTGTTTATATTTTGAGATTTGAATTGTATTGTACTTTATTATATAAATGATATAGGTCGAGAAATAATTTTTTTTTTTTCTTTGAATAAACTATTCAGAAATTTCATTTATGTAGGAAAGCCTTAAGGTCAGGCGGGGGCAGCAAACCCAACTTAATGGAATCGAGTTAGGTAAAGTATTCGTTGCAATCTAATGAACTGCTGCTATATTAAGAGCTCTTGTATCTCCATATTATTACTTTCAATAATTGCCTGTTGGGGAAGATGCAAGAAAAGCATGCTTCTCTGACTACAGCAGTTTCGGAGTACAAGCTGGAGACTGCGGGAATTCATTTTGCAATACCCTCCCTCCGCCTCCAATAAAACCTCATTAGTGTACCTCAGGATCACCCCTATAGCAGCTTCTCCATTCTTGAAAGTTACATCGCAACTCAGCTTGAAGTCTCGATTTAGGCCTGGAATTTGATCATGTTGTTGATAAGTTAAAAATCACCATATAAAAGTTAGTATAAAAAGGTCAGAGGAATGGTTATTCATCTTCCTATCTTTCGCACAAGAAAATTACTTTTTTACTCCCCTTTTGGATGTCGAAATAACAATGATTCTTGGTCTTGTTTGTCAAAGATTCCAAGTCTGAGTTTGAGTTTCAATGCTTTTCAAGTGTCTTAAAACTACCAGTTTAATTGGATTACAAACCCCATAAGAAGCGTTGGACAAAAAAAAAAATAGAGTGAATAGAAATTCCTCAATGAATTTGGCCAAAAAAAAAAAAAAAAACTCCAATTAAGATACCCAAAACTTAAGGTTTCATTAATACAGAAAGGATTTCCATAATATCTAATCTACAAAAGTATAAATTATGTCAACCACAAAATTGAGTGATTCCTTTTTGTGCAAAAAAAAAAAAAATCGAGAGAGATCAAGGTTAAAGTTGGGGTGACTAGTGGCTTGTGAGTGTTGGGAATAGTAAATAACTCATTTTCACTAGGTCTTGAATTCAATGTGCTAGTGGAACCCTGCAATCAATCTTTAATGTAGATAATGTTCATTTGATTTTGCATTCGGGTGGGAGCTGTGTTTCCTGTCAAAAAGTCAATGGAGTAGTTCACTAATAATATTGTTTGATTATCGGAGTCCATTAATAGATTGGGGAATGTGAGGCATAGCCTTGCGACAAGTTATGAATACATTGGGGATTTCTAATATATATTTGGTAGAGGAGTTTTACTAAGATTGGATTATTTAGAAATTTTACCCAAAATTATTGTATCAGATTTATTAGAACTAGATTTCCTAAGAATATGTTATAACCCTTTAGATTCTAACACAATAAGGAAAAGTTTTGTGAACATTTATCAAACCGCATAAATCTAATGTTCTTCTTTTCTTGATTTTTGTCATTCTTGATTGTTCACCATATTGCACGTTCACAACAAATTGGTATCAGAGATGTTGGTTACTCGATCTAATGGTAGGGAATTCTTCGTTGCCCAAGTACGAAGTCATAAAATTTGATGGCACCGGGAAACTTTGGGTTAAGAANACGTTCACAACAAATTGGTATCAGAGATGTTGGTTACTCGATCTAATGGTAGGGAATTCTTCATTGCCCAAGTACGAAGTCATAAAATTTGATGGCACCGGGAAACTTTGGGTTAAGAATTAAAAATCTGTTGGTGCAGCAGAGATTGGTGAAAGCGTTAGTGGAATGAAAAGAAAAGAAACAAAAAAAAGATCTCGGTAGAAAACTAGGAAGAAATCCAGATGACGACAGTAAGTACAATTCATCTTTATTTAGCGGATGATGTTTTATACCATGTTATGAATGAAGAATCTCCTTCAGTTATGTGAAAAAAATTTGAGAGTCAATTCATGTCGAAATCCTTATCGAATAAGTCCTATCTTAAAAAAAAGTTGAATGGGTTTAAGATAGTGGACATTTCAAATCTGGCTCAACACATGAATCTTTCTAANACAATTCATCTTTATTTAGCGGATGATGTTTTATACCATGTTATGAATGAAGAATCTTCTTCAGTTATGTGAAAAAAATTTGAGAGTCAATTCATGTCGAAATTCTTATCGAATGAGTCCTATCTTAAAAAAAAGTTGAATGGGTTTAAGATAGTGGACATTTCAAATCTGGCTCAACACATGAATCTTTCTATTAAATTATTGGCAATTTATTCAGGATTGGTATCAAGTTTAAGGAGAAAGAACAAACACTGCGAAAATCTAGTTACAAACCTATTATATGGGAAACAAACTCTGACTACTGAAGAGATTACGGGACCCTATTGGTGTATAATCAACGAAGGCAAAGCACCACTAAAGGTTCCCAAGATGAAGGGCTCGTAGCAAAAAGTAGTCAAGATTCGTGAGAGAAGTTAATCCAATCACAAGGGAAAGAACAAACACTACGAAAATCTAGTTACAACCTTATTATATGGGAAACAGACTCTGACTACTAAAGAGATTATGGAACCCTGTTGGCATATAATCAACGAATGCAAAGTACCGCTGAAGGATCCCAAGGCGAAGGNCAATCACAAGGGAAAGAACAAACACTACGAAAATCTAGTTACAACCTTATTATATGGAAAACAGACTCTGACTACTAAAGAGATTATGGGACCCTGTTGGCATATAATCAACGAATGCAAAGTACCGCTGAAGGATCCCAAGGCGAAGGGCTCGTAGCAAAAAAGTAGTCAAGATTCGTGAGAGAAGGTAATCCAATGACAAGGGAAAACCGGTCAAAATCGTGCATCAAGTGCAATAAGAGAGGGCATTTGAAGCGGGAATGCCCCAAGTTGAAGAAGGGTAAAGGAGCGGGAGCAAAGAACAAAAGATCGACAAATCCAGCAAATCTAGTAGAACAAGATTCTGATTATGGTGACGATAATTTGTTGTCAACCTCAACAAATTATGATTAGATGGTGGACTCACGGATCCTTGATTCTGCGTGTTTTTATCATATGTCTCCTAATCGAGATTGATTCAAAACCTACAGGTCAATAAATTGTGGTACCATTCTAGTGGGTAATGATGTATTATGTAAAGTCATTGGAATTATTACAATTAGGATCAAAATGTTCAATATTTTTTTAAAACTTTGGGTGAGATTAGAAATGTTCCAGATTTGGGGAAAATTTAATTTATTTGGAAACCTTAGACTCTAATAGCTCTGATTACAATGCAGAAGGTAGAGTATTGAAGATAACCAAAGGTTCTAGGGTATTATGAAAGGTCAAAAGATTGTGAAAAATATCAACAAACTGATAAGTTCTGTTGTAGGTAAAGTTGCTACAGGTAAATGACATTCTATCATGACATATACTATTGTGGCATATGGGTGAGCATGACATGATGAAACTGCATAAAAATAAGTTGTTGCAAAGGTTAAATCATACAAGCTAAATTTGTGCAAGTATTGTGTTCTAAAAAAAAAGTATAAGGTTCAATTCAAATCTATCAGGCACAATAGATAAGGTTCTACATATTCTCTTGATGTTTGGAAGCCAGTGAAAGTAACTTCAAAGAGAGTTTTCAAGTATTTTGTTATTTTCATTTATAATCAATTCAAAACGATTTGATTTACTTTATGAAGCATAAGTCAGAACTTTCACAAAGTTTAAACTGTGATTAAAAATTTCACAACCATTGGAGTGTTTTGTGAGTAGGAGGGATACATTTGTTGTTAGCAAGTCAAGAGACTAAATAACTAAATAGTTTATTTCCTTCTGCAACAGATTCTCAGTATTTAAAGCTCTAGGAGACCAAAGAAACAAAAGAAAAAAATAAGAAACCAAGATAAAGAACATAACTATTTGAAGAAAGAGAGTTTGCAGTTTTATTTGGCATAAATGTTAATGTTTCAGCATCCTAACTCACACAGAATAAAGACATTAATTGGATAATGTCTATACAAACGACCAGTTGGTGAAGGCGAAGGCAAGGTAGTGGACATCAGTTCCCTCTCTGACGACTTTCCAGGCAACAGCTCGTTGATATGACACGTAGTTCTCCATCACTGACAAGCAAATTCCGGCAGGTAAAATAGTAAAGCCCTGCAAAGTAGAAGGTTTGTGATTGCAAACTTTCCTAGTTTGCCTCATTTAGAAGCTCCTGTTTCATCTTTTACCCCCTTCACTAAAGGTTTTCACCTACTATAGTAAAAGGAAGCATTCAGACAACCTAAATTTCTGGCAAGCAATGATCGAAATTTCTTTTCCATGCATAATTTTGGTCAATTTGGAAACAGAAGCGTTTTGGAAATGTTTTGGAAATAATTCGGAAACATAATGGACACAAAGGAATAAATTGAAAACTTAGTTGCAAAACATTGATCGAAAGATACTGAAACATGTTCAAATGTTCAATCACTTGATTCGTTTTAGATTCTATGGAAATGAAAACGTCTCCACCACTTCAAAATAAAATTGAGTTTCTTGCTGGCAAGTCAATTTTGTGTGAAATGGGAACTACCTGCTGCATGATCATCTGAACAGAATTCAGGGCCTCTTGGCCAGACTCGCGAAATATCTTATCCAGAGTGATGTCCTGCAAAGCCGCCAGTGTTGTCTCCAGCATGTCAAGCCCTGCTTTGTTGGCATATAAGCAAACTGGAACCAACTGCAAAAACAAATGCATTCAAAACTTCCTCAATATATATTAGATTGTCAGGTTCATGAGAAGTAAAACCTATCTATTTGGACCTTAATAGTGACAAGCCAAGATAATTTGAGCAAGAACGCAACTTAAACAAATGACGCATGCTTCTGTTTTCCAATCCATCGAATTGCATGTTTTTTAAAAGAAAAAAGCAAACAAAAGTGTAAATGAATAAGTGATGCATGCACTTTCTCCGTAATTTAACTGAAATAAGAACACAATGTGGATACTGCACGACTTCCGCAAGGCAGCAAAGTATTTCCTCACTTTATAAGAAATTAGCCAGTGCCTATTTTATCTTCCATGTTTTTGGGTCATGCAATTGTCCTAATATCTTCCCTTTCTTTACGTTTTACTTTAGATGCACAAATATAATGGTTTCTTAGTCCCAGAAGAAGCATCCACCTATTTACAACCTTGCAAATACATGTCCATGAAAGATGCACGACTTGCTACATGTTGACACCTGATGTAAGCATATGTTGCAGAAAAAATGAGACAACCAAAAGAGGAGGGAAGTTTTAGGGGAAAAAACTAAGATACGCTGCCCCAAAATAGATGTTTTTTTTGCTTGAATTTGTTACACATGAACATCATATCTTCATCTAGGATATACCAGAGCATTGTAAACATACCTTGAATGAACAACATAATATGGCATCCTGATGATGCCAGAGCTGCTGCAACACTGAGTCACCACTCTGGCAACTAGACGTCAGCAACTCGCCACCCAAAATGGATCTGGTTAAAAAGAGAGAAAGAATGTGGTGTTAACTTTGATCAATCATAAAAAAAGAGAAAGAAGAAGAGACTATTATTAAGGCACAATTAGCCAGAACAACATGATAGAAAAATCCATACAAGAGGCCCCTACTCTTATATAGTAGGATAACATAAAAGAAAACAAATGACTAAGNGCCCCAAAATAGATGTTTTTTTTGCTTGAATTTGTTACACATGAACATCATATCTTCATCTAGGATATACCAGAGCATTGTAAACATACCTTGAATGAACAACATAATATGGCATCCTGATGATGCCAGAGCTGCTGCAACACTGAGTCACCACTCTGGCAACTAGACGTCAGCAACTCGCCACCCAAAATGGATCTGGTTAAAAAGAGAGAAAGAATGTGGTGTTAACTTTGATCAATCATAAAAAAAGAGAAAGAAGAAGAGACTATTATTAAGGCACAATTAGCCAGAACAACATGATAGAAATATACATACAAGAGGCCCCTACCCTTATATAGTAGGATAACATAAAAGAAAACAAATGACTAAACTACCCATAAGACTAAATATGCTAACCACTCTTACACCCTTCCTCAAACTCATGATGTGGTAGTAGAAAACATCACGAGTTTGTCAAGAAGAAAACGAAAGCGAGTGATAGTATGCGACTTTGTGAAAAAATCTGCTAACTGCATAGTAGAAGAAAGAAAGGGGAGGGAGATAGTGCCCAACTAAAGATGATGACGCATAAAGTGGCAATCAATCTTAATATGCTTAGTGCACTCATGAAAGACTAAGTTATGAGCAATCTGAATAGTACTAGTGTTATCACAATACATAGTATGTCAATGTTTGCGCTTTGCTACACCAATCTGTTCAAGTGCATCAGCACAGGAAGATTGACAAATAGTACCATCAAATTTTAATAGATCACGAAAAGAATTAAAAGAATATTCTCCTCCTTGGTCATATCGAAAATATTTAATAACAGATGAATATTGAGTATGTATCATAGTACGAAAAACAATAAATACAAAAAAGAATTCAGAATGATGCTTCATGAGATATAACCAACAATATCTGGTATAATCATCAATAAGTAATACANACGAAAAACAATAAATACAAAAAAGAATTCAGAATGATGCTTCATGAGATATAACCAACAATATCTGGTATAATCATCAATAAGTAATACATAATATCTGGATCCTCCTTTTGTGGAAATAGGTGCAGGCCCCAGATATCATAATGAACAAGGTCAAATGGTACAAGAGAGCTAGTAAGACTTTTAGTAAAAGGTAAGAAGTAAACTTAGTTAACTTGCATCTACTACAACTAGAAATATCATGACACTCTAAATAACTCAAATTACCAGTGGAGGCTAAATGTTTCAAACGAGAATGAGAAACATGACCCAGACGAGAATGCAACAAGTAAAAACTAAAAAACGGTGGACTCAAATGAGAAGACGACAAATCAATGGTAGAAGCTGCAATATTTGGAACATGTAGCTCGTCCAATATATATAGTCCTCCATTTCTACTACTAGTCCTAGTCAGTTTCTTAGAATGTGGATCCTGCACAACACAACCAAAAAAAGAAAATTGAACTGAAAATCCAGAATCAAATAACTGACTGACTGAAATTAATTTCAAAGTAAGTTGAGGGATATAATAGACATCTAAAAGTGTAAGGTAAGGAAAAATAATAGCCCTGACACTTTCCAAAGACATTTGGCTGTCATTTGCTTCAAGTACAGATACAAATGGAGGAGAGAAAGTAGATACAAACAAGGAAGAGTCACTAGTCATATGATGCNCCTGACACTTTCCAAAGACATTTGGCTGTCATTTGCTTCAAGTACAGATACAAATGGAGGAGAGAAAGTAGATACAAACAAGGAAGAGTCACTAGTCATATGATGCATAGCACCTGAGTCGAAAACCCAAGCAGTACGAGGTATGCCTGAAGGGCCCGAAATGAATGAACTTACTGAAGAGGAGACTGAGAGATCATCAAGTTGCCGGAGTAAGAGAAGTCTTTGCAACTGATCAACAATTGTAGTCATACTGGGAGTTAATGCCTCAAAAGTGGCCTGAAGAGAACCAAAATCGCCATTTGCCATATTTTAAATGAAAAATGTCCAAATCCAGCACAAAACAACATATCTAACACAAATGTATCAAAAATACTTGTTGACAGCCCAAATTCAATACAAAAGCAGCAAACCCAAACCAAATCCAGCACAAATCAACAAGCCCAGCCCAATTCCTTCACAAAATCTTGTTGGCAACCCAAATTTAAGAAAGCCCAATCCAAATCCAGCAAATATCCAAGCACAAAGTCAGTTTCTTTTTTTTTTAAAATAGCGATAGACAACATTAGAAGGCTTGGAGGTTGTGAACAGGAACTTAATAGTGCCCAGATTTTTCAACAGTGATACTTTCCCAAAGGTACAATGAGTCACCAAAAGAGAATTCTCGACAAAACAAAACCATAAGCGCANGGAACTTAATAGTGCCCAGATTTTTCAACAGTGATACTTTCCCAAAGGTACAATGAGTCACCAAAAGAGAATTCTCGACAAAACAAAACCATAAGCGCACAGAGAGCAAATAGATAGTTACAGCCACCTAGGGTCTCTATAGAATCAACATCTCGTCTTCTTCATCTTCTACTGGAAAGACAACACAACAGAGGAAGAGAGAGCACAGAACCAAACCTCTGAAAATCAGCAAGAACAATCAATGAAGAATCGCAATAAACACAGCAAAGAAATATCCACCGCCTGGAGCAGAGAGCAGAAACTCAGCAAAGAACAGCAAGTCGGTCTGATATTTGTTTGAACAGAGAAACAACAACACAGCAAAGGACAGTGAACAGCAAACAGGAAACCAGCAACCCAAAGCAGCAAACAACGACATGATGAATCAGAACTCCAAGGTTTCAAATCTTGGACAGCGAGAATTGGGTTGCTCTAATCATGGAACCAAAACATGCTCTGATACTATGTTAACTTTGATCAATCATAGAAAAATAAGAGAAAGAAGAATAGAATATTATTGAGGCACAATTAGCCAGAACAATATGATAGAAAAATACATACAAAAGGCCCTTATATAGTAGGGTAACATAAAAGAAAACAAATAACTAAGTTACTCCTAAGACTAAATATGCCAACTACTCTAACAGTATTAGCTTCAAAAAAAATTGCTAGAAGTTTGTACTAGATAACGGAAGACGGATTCCAAATTGGTATCGGCAAGTTAAAACCAAATAATGCTCCAATATTAAGCACATCAGACATGAAATTGAGCCACTTTCCCACATGCGGCCTATTTAGTGTACGGTGCATATCTCAGAATTAAATTTCTTACAAAATGTTCACAGCCATGATGATACCTCCTCATGTGTATTAGGATTTGGAGCCCACTAGGATGCTGGCACACTTCCAGTCAATAACACAACTCGTATAGGAGCTGTTGAAGGCAGAAAATTCAGAGACTTCCCATGAAAGCAGAACTCCAAAAGAACGTTCTACTTTGATTTGGACTGCATATTTTTCTGATTTTGGACCAAAGGTCTTCCTAATCATTTCATCCCGTTTGTTGTTGACAATTAAGTATATGGAAATCAAAGATTGTTATTAATTAATATCTTATTTCGAATTAGTAGCATGTAATATGTGTCTCAAGATCTTTCAACTTGCCTATAGCTTTGACAGATCCAATTTGCAAGGGTGACAGTTTCAGGAGAATCTTGAGTTAGCTTCGGCGTGTCAGATCTTGATCCAGATGGTGTCATTGCTGCAGCAATCTTTTGCACAGAAGAAATTACATTGCGGACATATTGCCGAGCCATGGATGCAACATTCTCCTGCAGGTGGCTTTCGAAGGGGAATTGAAAGGCAATAATCAACAAAGAACATAAATCATCTGGGGATGAATCTCCAGCAGGATGGCTTGTGCCTGTGCATGCGTCAATATTATCTGCTGCCAGATTTGCCCGTTGAGTAGTCAATGCATTATGTCTGTCAAGCTGTAATGATAAATATTAGAAAATGGAACCAAAAGCAAAGGCATACTCGGTTCAACATGAATAAAGCATCACTATGAATCCTTTATCATCTGCACTTATTAAATAGACAAGCACATAAATAGAATCACACTTAATCATCCACTATTAGAAGTGATAAACACACAATAAATTCTAGATGGAGTAATCATCTGCATAAAAAAGGCAATCGTATGCAAGCTTAAGTTAGATCACGAGATCAACAATTGCCTCACAGAACCCTTGTGATTACATACTCAGAGAAAGTTTGGTCACATGTAATTAAGTGATGATCAGTCAGTCTTAAAGCAGGTGGTAGGTTCAAAAGTATATTAGTTTAAAAGATGAAAGGGCATAGAAATAGCCCATCTTCCCAATCAATCCACTTTTACAACTCTCGATCATTTGACCCTGTTTACATCCATGTTCTTATAACACAACTTGGTATGAACAATAACTGGGTTGAGAAGCCGTTATTGTAGGGCGTTAGGTTTAGAGAATGGAGAGAAATAATATGAGAGAGAGGCAGAGCATAGTCAAAGAACTTACCCTACCTCTCACTATCAATTAATTAGTATTTATAGTTATTTTAGTATACCCTTAGAGAGGTATACTTATAACAACTATATAAAATATAATACTAATACTCTCAATACTCTCCCTCAAACTGAAGTATATATATTATATAATCCAAGTTTGGAATAAATAGTTGTAAGACGAGTGTGGTCCAATGCTTTGGTGAATATATCTGCAAGTCAGATTTCACAGAGAGTGCTGCAATATCTCTATNTTCAATGCTTTGGTGAATATATCTGCAAGTCAGATTTCACAGAGAGTGCTGCAATATCTCTATCCAATATTTTGTCTCAAATGAAGTGACAATCAATTTCAATATGTTTGGTTCTCTCATAAAATATAGGATTAGTAGCAATATGAATAGTTGTCTGATTGTCACAATAGTTAGAAGGACAACTGGGGACTAGAAAACCAATTTCCTGAAGAAAGTGTTGTAACTATGTCAACTCTGGTATGTGTCATCGTCCTATACTCAGCTTTGGCATTAGACCGTGCTACCACTATTTGTTTCTTACTTTTCTATGTAATCTTGTTACCTCCTAAGAAGATACAATATCTAGTAATTGATCTTCGATCTGAGGGAGAGCCAGCTCAATCAGCATCGATAAAATCTTCCACTCTAAGATGCCCATTAATTAGATAAAATAACACAAGTCTAGGAGAATGTTTAAGATATTGAAGAATGCAGACAACTATATCCCAATATGGTATTCTCGGGCATCCCATAAACTGACCCACAACACTAACTACATATGCAATATCAGGTCGGATAATAGATTCTCCACCAACCTGCGATACCAACCTGGATTTTCAAACAAAGAACCATCCAAGGATCAAAATATCATTTCAGAGTACCATTTTGGTCAACTCAAAAACAAAAACGTTTCCGAAAAACAGAAAAAATATGAAAACACGTGAAAATACAAATGCAATCTATTTATTTATAAAGATAAGCCTAATAATTGATTAATTAAACATGTTTATTGGGTTAACATCCATTTATACAAGATAACATCAAGTTGGAGGAANGGTAATAGGGCAACCCAGATACATAAAAGGACATTCTTTAAAAGCAATACCAGAAAAAGCATGTCTCCTACCAACTGTAATATGTTTAGAACCAAACATAGAACTTTTTTTTAGACTCACCTTCTGCCCAGAATTCAACTCATAAATTCTAAGAAAACTCATTAAATTTTCAAGAGATCTCTTANAACCAAACATAGAACTTTTTTTTAGACTCACCTTCTGCCCAGAATTCAACTCATAAATTCTAAGAAAACTCATTAAATTTTCAAGAGATCTCTTATACCCCCTCAAAAAAAATTAAAAGTGTCATCTGCGAAAATCAGGTGACTAATCAACATAGAACCCCTGCCCAAATGATAACTCTACACAGCTCCCTCTTGATATAACTTCTTCAAACCCCTGCTCAACACTTCCTCTACCAAAATAAAGAGATAAAGAGACATAGAATCTCCTGGCCTCAAACCCCTAGAAGTAGGAAAATATCATTTCCTCTCCCCATTAACACATACAGAAAAATGTTGTTGAGCCAGACAATTAGAAATAATCTTCACAAACAAATCAGAAAAACCAAATCTAGATAGTACCTTACACAAAAAATCCCACTCTAGCCTATCATAGGCTTTCATCATGTCCAATTTGAGAACCAGATTGCCAACCTCCACTTTCCTATCTAGGTCCCTTAAAAGCAGTTGAGCTAAAGACACACACTTACCAATACTCCTTCTCCTTACAAATCCATGCTGCTCCAAAGACACTAATGAGGGTAAAACAGGAGCAAGCCTCAAAGGCAAAAGCTTAGTAAAAATCTTGTATAAGAATGTACATAAACTTATTGGCCTGAAATCAGAAAATGTCATAGGATTTAATTTTTTAGGAATAAGAGCCAGAAGAGTAGAATTAATAGATCTAAGCACTTTACCCCCTCTAAGAAAAAAATTTACAGCATTCACCACATCTTCCTTTATGATATCCCATGCCACTTGGAAAAATTTTCTTGACATTCCATCTGCAACAGGAGAACTTTGAGCAGACATGGAAAAAACAACCCTTCTTACTTCCTCCATCTAAGCTTCTGTAGTAAGCATCTCATTCACTTCAGAACTTACTAAAGAAGGGATCACGGATAGTAAATCCTCACTAACGTCATGTTGTTCAGACTGATAATGACCTGCAAAGAAATCTACTGCAACCTCCCCAATTTCTTTCTCAGACTAGACCCACACCCTTTCAGCATTTTGAATTCTATGAATCTTATTTCTTGTATCTTTTCCTTTGGCCAAAACATGATAGAACTTTGTGCTTTTCTCCCCATCCACAGCCCATTTAATATTAGCTTTCTGTTACCAATAAATCTCTTCCAACCTCAAAATCCCATCTAATTCTTTTTTCACTTCCTCAAGAGCAAGAACATTATCAACAAAATCATTCTACTCAACCAACATCTCTGCTCTCTGCAATGCTTCTTCCTTCATTCTTATCCTCTTAAAAATATTACCAAAGACCTCCTTATTCCATTTTTTCAGATGAAACTTCAAAAACTTTAACTTTAAGAAAACATTTTCAATGAGATTATTTGAATATTGCCCTACCCAATGAGAAGCAACCAAAGGCAAAAAACCAACATCTTCCATCCACATATCTTGGAATTTGAAATAAGAAATTCTTTGCTAAGAAGAACAAAACAAACTAATAAGCAATGGACTGTGGTTAGATCTACCCTTTCCCAAATGTTTCACCTCAGTTTTATCAAAAGACACACTCCAATTTGTATTAAACAACACCCTATCAATCCTTTGCCACATTCTAGCTCTGCCCTGCTGATTGTTACACCAAGTAAATCTGCTATCAACAAAACCAACATCAATCAGACCATCATCCTCAACAAAAACCTCCAAACTCCTCCATGGAGACATAAGAAGGAAAAGCTCCTCCTATTCTCTCCTCAGAGTTCATCATAGCATTGAAATTCCCAACCACCATCCAAGGCACAGAAGGTAGCCTAGGAATTTCCAACAAATGTTGCCATAAAAGCCTTCTTACCACATGTTCACAACTAGCATATACTATAGAAACACACACCCCCTCTGAACCTAGGTAAGAAATTACAATTTAGCCCACATAATTATGCTAAGATGCATGATCAGGTCTCACAAAAAATAAACTCTCCATCTACTTTTCAATTATACCAAACGAGCAACGAAAACAACAAAAATCATACCTTGAGGTGGCACAAGTGCATCGCTAGGAGTGTCGTTATAGAAATGATTGATCTTAAACCTTAGCTTACAACTAGGTCTTATTACTCTTCCACCTATTTTCCCATCACAACATGTTGGGATTTGCCCGACAGCCCCATCCAAGCATTCGTTACATTGCCACTGAGACAAATCAGGCGTGCATTGTGAAAGCGCGTATATAGTTTGAAAGTCGGGGCCACTAGTGTTCCCTGTGGCGAACTTCTGCCTAGAATCACCCGACGCTGCTCGCTTTCGTAGGTTGTCCAACAAATTCTTTAGCGCTTGATTAAACTGAACAGGGCTCGAGACATAATTATCGTTTGGATACAGTGCAGCCAGATTGATTTGGAGAGTACCAAATATGGAGCGATTCGAGTACCTTAATGTACAATAATTGTACCCTTCAATTGCCTCTTTATAGTTTGGACAACGTTGTAAGATGTTATAAGCAGAGTCATTGACACAAGTACAACAGACATCGAGCTCAACATCTCCTCGACAGAGCACGATGGCGT